TTTAAAGCGGTCAGAAAACAAAGGGGATTAGAATGGGAATTATCGCATTTTTTACGACTGCTCATATTTGATCTTGTTTTTAAAGGTAACTTGGTTTTATTTTTAATGTTTCTATATTAAATATTACAAGAACACAAAAGCTAAATTGCTTTAGTTTTTAAATAAATTGCTTTATGATTATGATGAATATTATTTCCGACAAGTATTGTTTAGTTCTTGAGAAGGGGGTTTTCTCTTTCAACTGATGCTTGAGTTTATAAAAGCTGCTCTTTTTATTATAGTTCTTTCCTACATTTTGAAATTGTTATATTTGATACTTAAATTTTAATTGACACTTGTTTTGATTTATGAATTTTAAGCCAATGGAAAAATGTCACAACAGGAAAGAATAAACACTGATAGAGTTCTCAAAAACTGAGTTTTCCAATACAATTTTATACACAAAAATGTATTTCTTTGTTAAGCAAATCTTCAAGTTTTGTACTAATTTAATTGCCTGAGGAATAAGCGTGTTATGACGACTAAAACTCAGTGAAGTTATCAAGAATTCAACCGCTTAACCTTTGTACTGAGGGTAAACGCAATGAATATTCCAGCATGTAAATATGTACCCATAAAAACGGGTGATAACCCCCCGATATGAAAGGCAAATTAGTTTTCTTTGCATGGCTGGCGACCTTTTTGGCCCCGTTTTGTCCCCGAAATGTGCGGGATAACTCCATGATATATGAGCATTGTCGCTGACAGGATCCAGATAGCCTCCGGCTGGCTGCTGTGCATCGAAGTAAAAAACTGAAATGAAATGAAATTAAATAGAAGCGAATGTGAGTGAATTGTGTGCACTGCTTATTGACAATCTTGCAGTTTGCTTTTTTACTTTTATTTTATTATTCGGTGTTTGTTAACCGAAAACAATGCGACGCTTTTGCCGGAGCCCACGCATCAGATAAACAATAATGTCAATTTCATAAAAGCAAACACTCGTTGCGGATTCACGCTCTCGTTTTTTGGCATTCATAGTCAGTAAGGACACACATGTTCACTGAAGGTGGAGGCGGTTCAATCGATTGAAAATATATTCGAATTTATGCATGGCTTGTGCTGGATGGATTTTCTTTTTGCTGATCAAATCAGGAACGTTAATTAAAGCGCGATTCGTCGCCGGCGCTTTTTACTTTTGTTTGCACTGGGACATTATCCGCTTGCATATGCATTTAAAAGTTAAATTAAGCCGAGGGAATGCGATGAGTTTGGTCCTGGCGGCGTTGCAGCTAAATTAATTATTTATGTCCTGACATCAATTGATTTACAATCATTTATTTAGTGCCCACTTGTGTGCCCCTTTAATCATTCACATCGGAAAAGCCTCTCAATCATCAAAGGAATGGAATTTAATTGTTAAGTGCCGCAGGCAATTTGTAAATTGCTGAGTGCTAATAATAATGGTGGGAAATTCTGGTAAATCTATCTGTTATTTTTTTACAATTTAATGATATTAATATACTATATAAATGCATAGTTTTCATTACACCAGATTAATAGGTTTCCAACTGACTTTCTACGATAAGAAAAAAATAGTATGAGTAGGCAGTTCTCCTATTAATAATAATTCATTGAAAGTGTTCGTAATTAAATTGATAACAAACATAAAAAACTGGTTTAATGGATTATTATTATAATGGAATTAATGCATTTTAATGACATAAATCCATGTTCTTGTAAATTTTTAATGCAATCTGTATTTGCTTGCACAATTATGGCAATAAATCCATAGTTAATTTTCCATTTTGTCAATAAACATGCCACAATATTTCCCCGACATGTATAAAAAAAGCTTCTCACAGATTGGGTAATTGAAAAAAACATAAATCTTGTTTAACTAATTACAATTCAAAGGCAATCCATGGAGTGGGAGTGTGCTGGTGGCTAACTTTTGAAAAAAATTAAATGGTTATTGATGTGCTGGGAAAATAATAATTTTTTAGGCCCGCGATCAGAGTGCGGCGGCCATTAAACAGGGCCACAAAGCTAAAGGCCATAAAAAATCGCAATATGCTGCTGTTTTATTTGATTTACTTTTATTATTGCCGGACCCAAAGACAGCGAGAGATAGAGGTCTCTGGGCCTGTTGAAGTATAATCATTTTTGGCGAGCCAATTTTAAGCATAAAAAAGAAGGGAAAATTGTTCTGTGTCGGACATTTATGTTCTAGATTTTATGGCAATTTTGTTTCGGCTAAAACAATAAGAGGGCCAATATACATACACATATATTCGTGTGTTTCTTGTCTCGTAAAAGGACAGCTGAATCGGAATCTGATGCTTATTGTATACGAATTAGAGATGGAATGAAAATAATGATTTAACGAAAAGATATCGATTGTGCGAACGATATTTGTTTTAAGGTATACTAATTTCCAATTAAAATGTATAGCTATTTATATAAAATTGTGTAGATTACGTTTAGTAATTTATATACATTTTTCAGCCTTTAATTTCGCTTTAAAAGATTTTGAAACATTTCTTACTTTCCTGTTTAATGTAAATAAATTCAAATAAATTCAATTTGAGGAGTTTTTTATTCATATATCTATCAAAAGTGTAAAGTACCTTATATGAAAAATCGATAATTTCGATATACTGTATAATTATATCGATTCCTTTTTTCCTTAAAAACACATCCCTAATGTGTATGTCTTTGGGTCTCGACAAAGGAACATGCTGGATCTGATGCTCATTGTATGCGAATGAACGGTCGCATAATCTAATAATATTTTATGTGGACAGCATAAAAAGCACAGCACACAGTTTGGCACTTGAGAGTACGTTGAACTCTCAATCTGGCGCTCAACCTCCTTGTTCGTCCTTACTTTTCCTACTTTTTTTTTTGTTTTTACTCCGATGTCAAAGGACGAAGGGAAGGAGGGCCAACAAGCGTATATCCATTGACCAACAAAGACAGAGAAATCCAAGCCAATTTATTGAAGTTTTTGCCGTTGGCCAAGGACCATTACGACCAGAAAGCAAGCGGATATCCAGCTTCCCGGAATGTGAATTTTATGATGATGCCTTAAAAACACACACACACACACACAGACAGACAGACTAACATATATCCCTACATTAACGACGCAATTAACATTCAGATTGCGCATACGCCCTGTATGCTGCACTATTTATTTGTACTTTTTTTACCATTTGCATTTTCATTAGTTTATTATCCAAGTATACCCCTGCATTAATGCCAAATGAGCTGAAAATAATGGCTTAAAGTACCGGGAGCTGTATTAATAATGCTTTACGATCCAAAGAGCGATGGATATCGCTTGTGCGGGAATTTTCCACTTTCCACTTTCCGCTTTTACATGACAAGTGCCGTGGGGGAGGGTGGATAAAATGATAAGTTAGTCAATCAGTTGATTATAGCAATCTAAATATAACAACAGCAAGACAAAAGCTTTAGAGAAAGATTTGTGAAATGAATAAATAAAACGCTAAATGGCCGGAGAGTAAAAATAAACGCCATGCGAATTGAGAACGCAGAAAAGCCAAGCCAACAAATATGCATATACTATATATATATATCAAATACGATTTTCCCTTCTCTATCTATCACATGTGTGTGCATATATACTATATATATACGTTTGATGTCTGTCTGTCTGTCGCTGACACATACCTCAGCCTCTAAGTGAGTGTGCGTGGGCGAGTGAGTGTGCTCCAAAAATGCCATCAAGTCGTCTGACGTCACAACTGTGACAGAGAGAATCCGCGGGGAAATTATGCCATTGATTAGCCCGCGGCAGTTCAAGCCAACTCATGATTATGGCCACACTCATTACGCATTAACACGATGATGATGATGATGATGGTGATGCCACTAATGACGTGTCAAACGGCAGGCGGCAGGCGACACACCCCACACACACTCACTCGGTTAAATGTGTTGTGTTGTTGTGTGTATTTCACAGGCTGATAGATGAAGCAAACTAAAATTGGCCAAGAAGGAGCATTCCATTTAGTAGTTCTCACCGTTTGCACACTCATAATTTCGAGACTCTCTCTCTCTGAATAACGCATTATAAAAATATTCAAGTGGGTTTATATTTATGGGAAAATAAAGGAAATACTTGATTTTATTATCCATTAAAGTATATATACTGTTGAATAAATGCAAAGTACTTTGGAACTATACTTATTTATTATAAGGAAAACTAAGTCTTGTGTAGAATGTTTACAAATTCCGCTTACTAAGAACTGCAAACTACTTAGTAGAGTTTTGAAAATTTAGCAATAAAATGTTAATGTTAAAGAATACTTTTCATTACTTTTTTAAGAGATCAAAATTTAGAGTAAATTTACAGTTTCTTATTGTAAAAGGGATTTCATATTTTTTCTGTGTTTAAATTCAAATAAGTAAAACTCCTTAGAATAGGTTCTATGTAATTGCCTTGGTTTAATTCTTGGAAACGTAAAATTAATGTTACTCCCCGGAAGGAAGCTCCTCCTCCAATCTGTCATGTTATTTTATGCTCTTCTGTTTTGGACACAAACACGCAGGACAACACACACACACTCTGACCGATGGCCACTTGAAAATGGCCAAAAATACCAGCAAGGATTTGTGTTGCCAGGCTAAGCCAGGCCAGGCGAGAATGTGTGAAGGGCTACGGGCTGGGATATTAAATGTGAGGGATAAATGGGAGATAACATTTTTAAGCAATTTCGGTTTCAACACAAATATATTGATTCCTGATGCCACAGGCACGTCCGCAGGACCCACGTAGTTCTGCGGTGATGCCTTGTTTGGGGCAATGGGCGTGGAATCGAATGGCCTCCTCTTCCATGGCAATGCAAATGTAATGCAAATGCAAGGGCACAATGCGAGATGTGTGATGGGGAAATGGGAAATGTGAAATGCAAAATACAGAAAGCAATAAATTATGCGTTATGATGGAAATTACAATTTGTCACCATTTGTTATGTATTGCGTATTTTCAGGCAAAATGAATATTGGCATCGCAGCACCGAAATGGGATAAATTGTCGCCCCGCGAGTTTTTGCAGCTGCAGGAGTTGGCCTCATGTAAGTGAAAATCAGTAAATCAAATTGCACTAATCAAAAACACGATAGTAAGAGAGAAAGGGGCGAATGTCGAATGCAAATCACGGTCAATCAGACAGGCGCCCTTAATTTGGCCTTTTACACATTTCCCCCCGCATTGACAGAAAGCCAATTAAAATCCTTTTTATACAGACACACACATCCCATCGAATTTGACCAACATTTTTAATTGCATGCTGTTGTTAAAGGAATCATGTTACCCCATCAATCATTTTGCATTGTTTTAAATAAAGTTATTTGCAAATAGAGTTGAGCAGTTACTTTATAGTAATGTTAAGCCTCTTAAAGCTACGTAATAAGAAGAATATGAAAAGAGTTTGTGTTAAATAATATTATGAACACAAAATTCTAGATTAATATATAATGTATATAAATTAAATTTGATAATGAACTGTTCAAAACTGGAAAAAATATCATTTTTTTCTTAAAATTTTCATATCGATATCATATACATATGTATATATATAGTCCACCGATTGGCCATGCTCCGATTTATATACTAGTAAAATTATATAGACGAATAACTCCATAGTTTCATTCAAATGGCTTAAATTTGTTCAAAAACAAATCTCGCACATCTGTGCATATGATTCCCAACTGGTTCAAACATCCCCGGAACGAAGTGACTGCTGCCGGCCAAGTCTCAAATATGTGTTGTGTTTTAAAAGTTGCAAGTCACTGTTTATTAGTGTGCATAGATACTTACTGGTCATTGATATTTACTGATCATAGATACTTCCTGGTCAAAGTTACTTGCTGTTCATTTATACTTACTAATCAAAGTTAATTACTGATCATAGTTACTTACTGGTCATAGTTACTCAATGTTCATTGATACTTACTGATCACAGTTCCATAAATCGTCCGATTGTGCCTATATCAGCTATATATATGTGTAATACTTTCCTCGCATTCACTCTCTCAAAAAAGTGCCCTCCTCTGCGCTTCTCAACCAGTGTACTTAAGCACCGTAGCAAACACAATTATTTTTGTTCTTCTTCTTGTTCCGTTTGATAAATTAAATTTAAATTTGATATATATATAGTCCACCGATTCGCCATGCTCCGACTTTACAGAAATGTGTTGTGTTACAAAAGTTGCAAGTCATTGTTTATTAGTGTTCATAGATACTTACTGGCCATTGATATTTACTTGTCAAAATTACTTGCTGTTCATTGATACTTACTAGTCAATGTTAATTACTAATCATAGTTAATTACTGATCATTGTTAATGACTGATCATAGGTCTATAAATAGTCCGATCGTTCCTATGCAAATATATATCCATGTATATTTATAGTCCACCGATATGCCAAGCTTTATATATATATATATATTTATTTATACGATTAAAAGAATGACACAAGCTTAAAGTTTAGCCTCTTGAAAACTCTTTAAAAACCATTCGAGTTTTTAGTACCAATCCAGAAAACATATTTATCTATACCTAGGCAAATTTTATGTGAATTTATATCTCATTTTTGTACCTGCATAGATAACCATATGACGTTTCACTTGACTGCCATCGGCTTCATTTACATTTTTGCTTAGCTGGCACATCATTTGCTGCACTTGAGAAATATTCCTCATGGCAGCTGCAGCTTACTGTAAGCAGCGCATCTTAAAGAGCGATTCCACTCCACACACCAGACACACACAGACATATCTCATCCACAGACCCGGGATGCGAGTTACGAGCTACGAGTATGTCTGACACTGTTTGCAGTCTTCGCTGCAGCAAAGCTGTTTGACATGGCAAAGTAGTTTACCTTTGGGTGAGCACTTCGCCCACCTTATCCCAGTGAGCTGCCTGCGGAGGGAATTACTCGTACACGAACGGCAAATGCGAATGTTGAGCTTATAGATTATGGGATATTTCAAAGAACACACACTCACTGCGTCAAGGAAACGGGCTCGGACCATATCCAAAGGTGTGCACGCAGCTGTGAATTCAAAAAGAATCCGAAAACTTAAATCTGCACTAAGAACAGGGTACATTTTCAAGAACGCCGGAAATAATTTAAACGATAGAAGTGAAATAGTTGTATTCCATTGTGTTGCTTTATTTAAGATATGTTTTAGTTTAAGTTTTTGTTCTTCAAACATCTTAGAACTAAGTTTATCAGAAGTACTTGAAACCAGATCTCACAGTGTTAAATCATATGGGAAGCTTAGAAGTGATAAGGAATATCAAAATATATATAGATAAATAGATATTGATACATAAATATTTCCTTGCATCCCTACTAAATCCTAGCAACTTATTAATCCACTATGAACACTATATAACTTTAGTTTGGGTTCACTTACAATTCCTAATTAGATTTCCAATAAAGGATTGTAATTATATGCTAGTAGATCTCGTATAGCTTCAAGAGGTCCTGTATCACGTTGAGTCCTAACAGGCGTGGCTCCGGATATATGGGAGTGGCACCGGCAGGTGCTTATTAGAGTGCGGTTAAACTGTTTTTAGTCTGCGGTGCCGCTCCAGGCGAGAGGCATCAAAAGTGTCAGGAGCAGCAGCTGCCACCACTGCCATTGCCAGGGAAACGGGGCTGCAACTGCAACAGGACACAGAAGCCTTTCAGGTGCAGACACACTGCACAATTGCGGTGCAGGACACGAACACGAATACCACACACACTTACACACTCACACACAGAACCTCTCATTAGGTTAATAAAACTCTGCTGGGCTGAAAACATTTTGGTCTGAGCTCCCCGTGGAGTTTGTTTCAAGCATTTGTTGCGGCATGTCGGCCAACTCATCCACCGGCCAGTCATACACCGACACTTGTATTTCCACTTACACAACCCGCTTGTTTTCCATTAGTTAATTATCCCCACTGCGCTGCAGTAAGTCCACCCACGCGAGCCACCTGGGCCAAGCACCTGTCCACTTAAGACGTCGATTCAGGTGGCGCCAGTCGAGCGATTGACGTGTTTCCTGCCACTAGCGCACCTCAGCCAAATGGTACTTTGCATAATCCCCAGCTTAGACCACTCACCTGGAGTAGCTACATAGGGATTAGAATACAATTTCATCTCTCAAATCTCAGATACAGCTCTCATCCGTCTCCTCTCGTTGCAGATTCCACACGCAAGCTGCAGGATGTGCTGCGGGAGTTCTGCTCGCCGAGTGCCTCGGCCACGCCCAAGTGCATTCCGGATGGGGTAAGTGTTGCCAAAATGTCCACTCCCTTGTCCTTGATTCTCAACCTGCTCCTGTACTGACTCCTGTTCCCGCTTCTTTTCCTGCAATTAATTGAATGCGGATAAGACCAAGAGCCAGACCCTTCTCAAAGCACAAGTCAAGGATTCGCTTCGCCTGTATTCAGTTCGGGTTACACCTTACACTCTAATCCCCTGTCTGGCGACTGGGAAAGACCGATGAAAGGCGATTCTGGGGCATGCTCAAAAACACACATATGTACACTGCAAGAAAATAAGTCCACATACCAAGGGTTTCAAAACGTATTTCCCTATTTGTAAGGGTCAAGAATTTAAGGAAAGGAAGAAGGCCAATAGGTATATTTTAAAACAAGTTAGAATTCCTAATTTCTCCTTCAAGAATTCGGATCTAATAATAGTTTTGGAATATTAATATTTTTAGAATTAAATAAGATTCACTTTTCTCTCGCTGTACAATCGTCCTGACAGGGACAAGTATCATATAGAATAGAGATTATGGAGAGGGCAGGTGGGGTGAAAGATTGAAAGTAAATCTTCTTATACATACGTACAATAAATCACAGACTTTTCAAGTTTACGCCTGAATGCCAAATTGAAATTGAATCCTGGCACAGAGAGAGCCCCCTTTACGAATGAATATCCTGACAAGTTTATACATACTAAATTAATTTCAAACTGCCTGCAACTCCATTCATCTGGTCAAAGAAGCTGCATAAATTGTTACTCTCTCACAATCCCTCTGTCTCTAAGCAGGCACATCCTGGGACCCGCATCACTCTGGGAGCTTAGTGACAGTCACCAAGGAGACAAGGGATATGGGAACATACTGAGCCAAAACGTTTACAATTTGCACAGCATTCAATATTAATTTTTAATGGAAAACTCCAAAGATTTGAAAGTTAATTCATTTCGTTTTCTGGTCCATCATTTCCTTCGCCAAAGCAACGAATCGGAAAAAGTATAATTAAGTTGCCGCCACGCCCTCGAACCTCTTGATTTCTTTGGCTCCCTTACAAAGTTGGATTGATGTTTCTAGTCGAACGGAGGGAAGTGAATAATTTCGCTCAGGACTCGCATGGAATTCACTTTGATATCGAACACGAGTACGTTACGAGCACTTGCCGCACTCAATGTTTGCTGTTTGTCTTTACGGGGAATTTGCTGAACGAAAGTAATTCCCGTAAATATTTTAGCGAGCGAAATGAATTGAGATGCCACGAGATGTGCGCTGCCTGGCAACATATTTCCTATTCCGGGGGAAAGCAGCTTAACATGTCCTGTCCACAGAACAAAAAATAAAAATGAAAACAAACGTTCGTCCTGCTGTGACTTAAACTCGTTGCTCCAATTACGTTAATTAAGAGCCGTCTGTCGCCAGGTGGAACAGCAATTGCCTGCGTTCCGGTGTCGTTGTAAGCCGGAAAATGACATGTGCGTTTTTCTGTTTTTCCATCCAGCAATTGGTCACTCGATGGCTTTAAAGCCTGCCCCCACAAAAATGTGAACTATACCCCATATGGTCGTTATTTATGCCCCCGAACACCGAACTGTGCGATGCATAATGAATGCAAAGCGCAGATTATGTTCGCCGGAGCGGAGTAAAGACGAGTGCCAAATGGCCTGTATGCGTGCCCCGTTGCGTATGTGCGATGTGTGATTAGAGAGTGTAATGAATATCACGCATACGCACCGAGCGCCCCCCAAAATGTGCTCGAATATTTATTCATTAAGCCACGCGCTCACGCATAGCGTCACATAACGCGTCCCTGGGAACAGTCGCGGAGATTGAAAGCGGAGATATATGTATATACAGCAGATGTCAGAATAATAGGTACTAATTATTACCCTTAAAGAAGTTGAGATTAAAGTTGGAGTTTATAATAATATAAATGAATTAAATTATGCAAATAATAACCTTTGAATTGTATCATTTACATTGGTAAATAATTAAATAACAGAAGTGAATTTTATGCCATTATATTTATATTAATTGTTAATATTTGATGTTTAATGAATTAAGTATTTAAAAGTACTAATTAGAAGTTCAAATTAATTTCTAACTGAATTTTAATTGAATATTAAAGTGCCTTAATCCAGATTCTTTAATATAGTTTATTGGCAAGCTTCCAATTTATAGCTTTGCTTTAATTAATTACCCTATTCCCATCGAAATATCGTTGACATAGAAACCAAACGCAATAATTGATTACCCCAAGACCTCAAATATCTTAATTACCTGACCACAATTGTATATTTATTCGAAGGAATCTGGCAAAGGAGGAGATACATTAGAGTGAAGGGAGAGCTGTTCGCACGCGTATCTCGTTGCTGGCTAAATAAATTTTGCTAACGCAATTCGCGCCATTATTATAGTGCCAGAGTGTGTGTGGGTGTGTGCGGGAGTGTGTTATTTATGTGTGTGTAAGCCCCAGTATCTGTGTGTCGATGTTTTACAATATGCCGATGTTGCGATGTAGCTCCACTTAGGCGTGTCGCCGCCATTTGCGCTCGACTACTTCAAGCTATTTGCTCCGCCACTCGTGGCTATAGGCAGCCAGATATATATACATATACACATTGTATACTGTACAGTATGGTGTATAGCTATAGACTCGTTTAACTATAGATGCTGGTATAGTGCCAGGCGTATAAACTTCCATTTGCCTGTATTCGGTTTCATTATGGCCAAGGATCCAGCAAACAGCCAGCAAGTGGTTGAGAGCACTGCGAGAAATTCCAATAACTTGCAGGGGGAAAAAAAATATTCCATTTAACAAGAATTTACATTACTATCCCTCTTGTTCATACTGTTTTCGGATTAAAATATATAGTTCCTTAAATATAACTTAACAGGAATGAGCTTAAACCTTTCTAATAGTCGTCATAGATTACTTTTTAAATAGAAAACTTTAGGTTTAAATTAAATAAATATCCTGTTACATCTGATATTCCTTTTTTCTCAATTTTAAAATGAGTAATATTTAGTATTATTAAGGAGCAATTTCCTCTCAGTGTACTGTTAATGTTGCCAGCTCTTGCTGATGCTTTCATCGTATATATTTTGTTTTATGTTTCGAAATTTAAAACGATGCAAAATAGCAAAAGGCAGCGGACGGTTGGAAGGACGACTAGCAACCATTATGAGCCTGATAATAAAGGCAGATATATCTAGGAGAGTGTATATATACATAGACTTTATCGCGTAGTATTCCAAGCCGGAGCGCTGATTATTTCATTACTCCCGACGAAGGCAATTAATCGCACCCATCTCCCCGAGCTTGTTATCCTTGATTAGCTGTTATTCTTGATCCTGAAACCGGAGAAGAAGCTGGGAACTGGAAGTGGCAACTGTAAAATCCGTAAAGCTGCCGGCGGCCTAACGTCTATCAATGTCAGTGGGATGTCGGCGTCTATCAATGTCGAATGCCTGAATGTGGGTCCCTGAATGCTGCTGAATGCTGAATGGTGAATGTCGTCGTCGCATTGTTGATTCAAGCATCGCACCGCAGCTGTCAATGTATTGACATTACACGTGGTGTTGACATGTAATTTGCCCCGATCCCCATTCATCCAGGTTCCCGGGTCCCGTTCTGCATCCATAAAAACCTGCCCCATACCCATACACTACCCTATCCCTTTGCCGCACTCTCAGACCTATCCCAGTGTCTCACAGACCCAGGACAAATAAGGAGGCCGACCGCCAGATCCTTGGAGGACATTCCCCGGCACGTACAAATGGAACCTTTTTGGGGCGGAGCTCGGAGCTCGAAGCTCACTGCTCGGATTTATGTGAGAATTTTGTGCACTGGACAAATGTAAATAAAATGGCTTATGTTCCTCGCCCACAAGGAGAATTATGTATTCCGAGGGCGTAAAATTCGAGATTTTAAAGGCAGGCCAGGACAAAAATCTCAGCTAAATGGGAAATTTACTAAAGATATGCCTCCTGCTGATACCTGACCTTCAATTAGGCAGCAAATTTAGCATTTGATTATATGAAATCACTCTTCGAATATCTGGAAATATGGCGAGCATAATTATTAATCATACGCAACGTTGTCACCTCCTCTTTCCCGCTGAAAAAAGTTGAGAAATGCGAGATGCCTTCATCAAAGCCAAGTGCAAAATGTCCTTTGCCATAATACTGTCAACATATTATGTTTCATGAGAAGCTCTCGCCGTCTTTCCTGTCACAACAAACCCAATACTTCTCGTAAAACTTGGCTGAAAGGCGAAGCCTAGAACTATGCAACGCCAAGTGTTTTGCACACATTTTAGCTTGTCACTTTGGAATGGGCGACGGTAGATTTATTACGAACTCCACACCCCCTAGGAGAAGTAAAGGGAATTTCTTGGGGAAACATCATATTCTTTGATAGAAAATCACAGAAAATGGAATATAGTATACATTCTGGAAGCAAGAAAAATTCAAAGAATATGAACTTTAAATCATTACGTTCAGAGTAATCAAATTTTTTATTAAACTAGATAGTAGGAAATCCAATAAAGGTTCACAAATAGAAATTTTCTTAAAAGGATCTGCATTTTTCAAGAAAAACCATTTCCTCTGTTCACTTTCTTAACCCGCTCCTGTCCTTAGTAAACCTCATGTGTGGTTGCTGATGGCTTATTAAAAACCGAGCAACAAAACAAAGACCCACATAAATCATTGTTTTCTCTTCGTTTTTTTTTTCTTTTGGTCTAAGCTTTCCAACTCTTTTTCGCAGGACATTGATTTCGATGGCTTCCGTCGCTTCCTGGATGCCTTCCTCGACTGCGAGGCGCCACTGGATCTGGCCAAGCATTTGTTCGTGTCCTTCCTCAAGCCGAATGTCACCCAGGCCCAGCTGCATGGCCGGGCACTCAATCAAATGGCCGCCATCAGCAGCACGGCCGCCTGTGCGCCAGTCACGTCGCACACCAAGGGTAAGAGATCGTCCCACATCCTGACCACTTCCCTTTAAACCCATCCCCACCTTCTCCTCCCCTTACTCATGTGTTTGTGAATAATTGCTGAACATTTCTTTTGGGCTGGCTGCTGCTCCTGCTCCTGCTCCTCCACTTGTAATTAGGCTCCATACCGAACATCAATAGCATCGCCGAGCTGATGCCACAGTGCAGCGCAGCCGGAGGAGGTGTAGCCGGGAGCGAGGGCCACGCACAGGCCCGCAGCAGCTTTGTGGACAAAATCCATGGCATCACGGATAAATTACACCACTCACTGGGCGGACATCTCTCCCACGATCCCAGCAAGACGGGTAAGTTTTACACAGGAAAAAAAGCATCTAATCTTGGAACTAATTTACTAAAAGTTTCTTAAGAATCATTTTGAGGAAATGTAATAAATTTTATTTTGTATTGAATTTTAATCAAATTTCTGTTGAATTTCAATTGAAATTCCCTAAGGACTTTCTTTCTCTGAGTTTACTAGAAACTCCTCTAGTCCTGGCACGTGTCTGATATATCTATATATCTATATTGGTTGGAATACTTAACAGGCAGCGTTCATCCAATGCTCACCGTGACGCCCAGTCCCTTGGCCAGCGGTCCCAGCATGTTCCAGGCCAACAATCCGGCCCGCCGGTCCGTCGACTCGAGTCCCTCGCACTCGGCGACCAATCACTCGCAGATGTCACGCAACTCCTCCAAGAAGAGCAACAATTCTGTTAATTGCAAAATTGATGGTGAGTATTAATTAGGCAGCTTCCCCCTGAACATACCCATCTTCCGTGTACCCTTTCGCCTGCGTGCTCTGAAATTACAATGTGCATGCGACTTCCGTCCAATTAAGACGCTCATTGTGCAATCAGCATGTGCTATGTGTGGAGGGGCATCCTGGCCAGCTGCAGCAGCCTGGCTTGGCCTGGCCTGGCCTGGTTAGCATTCACAGCCAGTGAACAATTCAAATGCAAAAATTAACCATCTATATGCGCTGTGTTGCGCTCCATTTGTTCGCGTAAAAAAACGAAGGAAAGAAACTAAAAGAACAAACTTTTATTATTGCCTTTTGAGTGGCAGCAGCAGGCGAGCAGCATTTGTTATAGCAATTGTAAAAGTTTGAATTGGCAAAATGGATGTTATATGGGATGTGAATAGATGGGAAATATTCCATTTTTAAGATCAACATTACTCTGAATTTGTAACACAAAACATACATCAAGTAAATAAGGGGAAAGCATTAAGTACCCTTTATTGTGAGCTTTTACTTATATTATGTTTATAAATAATATAAGAGAAAAGTAGACCATTTTCTTATCTAGTAACTCTTCACTAAGCTCTTCTTTTCTCCTACTAAAAAGTTATCCCAAGAACACTTTGACTTGCATTTAAGATCTCTTTTTTGTTTGTCTCCAAGGACAAAAGTCAATACCTGTGAAGAAGCAACTTAAGAAGCTCAACAGAATTAGCTGCAGTAAGCTGAAAATCCCCGCTTGTTTGCCACTTGCTTAGTTAACTTTTTCGTGAACTTGCTAATTAGTGGAGCGAGCAAATATCAGCACGCGGAAGACGAAAAACAAAGCAGACCTTCGCTAATTCACGAGTTCATAAATTATGGACCTGGTCTGCAGTCCTGCGAACAGGGGAAACTTGGCACCGGAAGTCAGACTTGCTTCCCATCTTAGCACTGCGCTCCCCTCTTCCGTTTCCGCTGTCACAACAGCAGCCAAGAAAGGAACAAAACACAGAGAGAAAGAGAGAGAGTCCTAAAAAAGCGCTGAGCGACTCTTGTCTCGGGGATCGTGTCGTAAATCAACGCCCAATTAGAAACATTTTTGCATTTCACGAACTCGCAACTCGTAAAATGCGAAGCCTGCGTTAAATTAACATTTATTGCTCTCACACACACACACACTCAGAGAGATGAAGGGAGAATCCTGGGAAACAAAAGCACTGACACTCACACGGACACAGCGAGTGCGCCTCACTTGCGGCCTAAAAGTATGCAGCGGCATTTCTTTCCCTTTTTCTTTCATTCATTTCGCTTCGTTTGAAATGTGTACGAGAATGATTAATGAACGTAAATTTCGTTCTTTTTTCCCTCTTTTTTTGTTGCCTTTGTCGCTGGCCAACAGTTTCACGCATTTTTGCCAGCAATTGGAAGGCATTGTCCTGAAAGTTCAGAGGGTGGAGTACACAAAGAAAAATACGAGTTCTAAAAGAATAACCATTGAGAAGCTAAGATTACTGTAATTTATTGGATAAATTCTATATTTTTTAATTAATGAATTGAGCACACAATGTCATGGTAAAGTTTAATTTATTAAATTAAGTGTCTTAAAGTTGGCAATATAACTCTAGTTTCCAAAATGTAATTGGGAAAGTTGTTTTAACTTGGCAAACCAAGTTAATATTAGCTTAGAATATTATTTAAACGAATGTACAGAGATCATGCAATAATATGTATACAGTTGTAACATTTTCTCTTTGTGTAGTAAATTGCGCACGGGCATAAGGACGAGGCCCAGTCAGGAATTTGCTATTAGCATTATATATTAAGTACAACATGGGCCTCGCTTTGTTCCTCTCTTTCTGTGTGTGTGTGTTGGAGAGCGCCTTAAGCGCTAATTGGATTAGTTTTGCTTTGCTTTTTGCGTCCTGTCTTCCCTTCTGTGTGCGTCTGTGTGTGTGTGAATTAAATTTATTAGTCCAAATGTACGACGGCAAATAAGTTGACATTGATCCTGCAAACACACACTCAGCCTGTTTGCACAACTTTCCCTGCACTCATCGCGAGAGCGACAGGCTCATTTAGTTATTAATAAGAGGCCCAAATATTAGCATTGTATTCCGCATCTCTCTATATATATATTTTAATTTATTGCCAACAAACGTTCCGACATTAGGCAAACATAATTAGCTAAAATACAATCGTCTGTATGTGTGCTGGCATCTTTTTTCGGGTGTTTGTCTAGCTTAAGGGGATCCCCGCATTACCATATAAATTACAACATCAACAGCTCACACAAATGGCCTGTCAAAATAATAAGAGATGGAAATCATTCACTCAAACACAGCGGCAAATAGAGGGAAAGTCCCTTTTGAGAGTGTGCCTTACTGTGGAAAATTTCTAAACAATTTGCCGCCTTTGATTTCAATTCATTATGTAATTACGGCAGAGGCTTGGAAAAATCAATGGGGAATATTGCAGAAAAGCCAACGACCAACCAAGAAAAATATATAAGGTGAATAAATTCTTAATTATGGCGAAACAAAGTTGAACGGGAAAGTATCTGGAGCATAAGATGAGAAAAGTTTTGGGTCGCAGGCTCAAAAACATTAAGCTCAATGGCTTCCGCCTTAAAGTGGAAGGAAAACAAATTGAAGCCCAGTAATATTCCGAGTTCATTAAGAGCCGTAACAAAGCGCTGGCTTTTCGGCCCGGTCAAATGTTGGCAATTAACATTAAGCATAATGGGTTCCCGCCTGTCAGCTGTCGATTGCATTGAGAGTAATGAGGAGCCGCCGCCACTCTGTCAACCAAAGTGCCAAGCACTTAATGAATGTACACTGGGGATGGAGGCCAAGCCAGTTCTGAAATGTAAATGTATCGATTCCCGATGGGGAATTCGATATGAAAATCGATTATATTTGTAATAAATCATAGGGTTCATATTGAGTTTGTATTCAAGCAAAACCTGGAATAGCTAAGTAAATATATGAAGTATAAATATCGAAAGTGAAATAATAGATATGTCTTTAAAAGAGGGTTTTATTTAATTATTTAGTATTCAACAACAGATTAAAAAATAAATATTTTATTAACGATACCCACAATCGATAATTTCAATAGTCGATTAACGTACTTTTAGCTTTATTATGAAAGCGATGTAATGTCGATCTCCCTTATCGATTAGTGCACATCCCTAGGGCACATCCTTGCACTTTGCCCCCGTTGACCCACTCACTCACTCACTCATCCACTCACTTACTCACTTGTTTCCTTCATTTTCTTGCAGCTGACATTAAGCTTCTGGCGCGAAAACTCTCGCATTTTGATCCACTGACACTGAAGGTCCCGCTGAAGGATGTCGTCTGCTATTTATCACTGCTCGAGGCTGGCCGTCCGGAGGATAAGCTGGAATGTAAGTCCGAGTCGCGACCTTCGATCCGGCTGCTCGTTATTTATTCAATGCCTCGCTTGTCCTGCTTGCAGTCATGTTCCGGCTGTACGATACGGACAGCAACGGAGTCCTGGACACGGCCGAAATGGACGCCATTGTTAATCAGATGATGGCCGTGGCCGAATATCTTGGCTGGGATGTCAGCGAGCTGCGTCCGGTGAGTCTGGTTCCGGTACTGGTTCGGGATACGGTGCCGGTTAAATCCGGCTTACATTAAAAACTCATTACGCGATTGCAATTGCAACTGCAACTGCAATCGATGCACTGCAGATCCACTTAGAGTATCCTGCAGTTCTCCCATTGCCATGTCCGAACTGAGGCTCTTTGGCGGTCACGAATCCCGAAAACCCGTTCAACTACTCATTGACCCAATCCAATCCAATAAAACTTTTTCAATTACTTACGGACCTTTTCAGCGGCAAACACAATACAACAAAGCGGCAAACAAAACACGACGCCAAAAAAAAAACACTTGAAATTAATTTCTCTTTATTGTTTGGACATTCAACTTTAGCGATAGTCCCAGTTTAGCTGCACAGAGAAAAAATCTATTAATCTATAAATCTATTAATTAATAACTAGTAAGAAAGTTTCGAAAGTATAGGGAACTAATGAATGCTCTATTAATTAATTATTTTAAATAATAAGGTTTGAAAAGTGAAGTTCAGTTTTTCAAATAATTTGGTACAACATTTTAAGGAAAAGATAGTGATTTTCTATTGACTATTGACATCATCAAGATGTGCCTTACTTACTTTCTGAACGTAAAATACTTAGTCTGGAAATATTTTCTTATAATTTTCGTTTCAAGAATTAGTGTTTTTTCCTAACAAATTTCGCTGTGTGTGCTTTGGGTTTCCATTTCAACCGCAAATTTGTGGAGCTGCCGCAGCTACCACATCGCATAGGCGACTTAATAGTTTCAGCAGTGGCAAGAGCAAAAAGAACCGGCTTAAAGCGCTCCACAACCCCCTTAATGTTGACAGGCAAAGCAAAAAACAAGAAATACATATACATATACATATATATACGAGTTGAGGGAAAATGAAAGCAAAAAAAACAAAATAGCGAGAGACTGGCGACCGCAAATAAAGTCAAAGCGCCACAGAACTCAATTAACAAAATACCCCTGGCTATGGCGACCAACATCCTTCCCTCCCTCATGACCAGCAGGAGCCGCGGCCATTTCCTTGCCGGAGTTCCAGTTCCACTTCCAGCACGGCTTTATGACTGTGCCAGCGAGCACATACTTTAAATTCTAAGCAGGCACAGGAAATATTTTAATCAAAATATTTTTAGCCAACTCCTTCAGGCTCCAGGATTCAGGTTTGGGTCAGCCCAGCACAGAGCAGCCCTATGGCACCATTATCCTTTTCGCTTTCCGGCTGCGCCACAGAAATAATCAAAGCACTTAATGAGTTGCATAATTCTGGCATTCATTTCCGGAAGAATATGAAATTCCAGAAGAAATAGAAAAAGGATTCGGGAAGTTGAATAAATTTGTGAGGGGAAACTTCGCTTCAACCTGAATATTTCATGGAGCCATCGATCGACTTAAAGTGGCTTCTCCGGCCAAGGGAAACCTTAAAAGTTTTCTAAAATTTATTTGGGGCTTACAAAAGTGTGCAAGCAATCATAAAGAGATTAAAAATGCATTAGTTTAGCTGCCTTAAAATAATAAATGCCTCAGAAAACAATGCTTTTTGAATTAAGCTTTAGTCTGTCATGATACATATTCGTCATTCATTATAAGTGGATTTTGAAACTTAAAACTATAAATGAAATGAAGAATAGGAAGCGGCTTAAAGTTGCTTTAAAAATTCCAAAGATTTCAAGGATATATTTCTATGTATGTGCTACTCAGGTATCCTGCCTCTATGCCGGAAATGCATTTGCCCAACCAAGTCTAGGTAATAAGTTTACTCTCTCTCCGTCTCATCGGACGATGGGGAGAAGTGCATTCCGAGCAGGAAGTTACCTTTCCGTTAAGTTTCTTTCCATCTAAAAATTACCTTTTTGGTTTCACTCCTCCCCCGCACACACACTCCACTCACAACCATCTGCAATCGCTTTTTGTACTTACTTACAGATCCTGCAAGAGATGATGGTAGAAATTGACTATGACGCCGACGGCACAGTGTCCTTGGACGAGTGGCAACGCGGCGGGATGACAACCATTCCTCTACTAGTGCTCCTAGGTAGGTAATTCCCTCAACCTGCACAGAGAGAAAATTGCAGAGATTAGAGCCCCTTAAATGCATAAATATAAATATTTATTGATATATTCTTAGTTCGTAATAAAACTCTTTAAAATCTAGTTTGTATTAACATCTTTTGTGGAACAATTTCCGTATCAAGAGAACCCCTTGAAATATTTCCATTTTATTATAAATATAATGGCAAAGTCATAGAGACTTTCTCCCGATGCAAATGCTCTTCTAAATGCGCCTTTGCCGGCTGAATGCCTTGATCTGTGACTGGTTGGCTCCTGCCGTAATAATCAAGTCATTTGCCCAGATGGCCCAGAGGAACGGGCAGGAGCTGCCTGCCGGCATCCTTGCCAGCTTCCTCCTTCTCCCCCTCTCCACCGAACGCTTATGCAAAGTGACAACTCTCCTCTGTTCTCCCCCTCCATCGTCTACCGCACCTATGTACATCTACACCTCCATCTGCATCCGAATCCTCCGCAGGTGTCGACAGCACCACGCTCAAGGAGGACGGCATCCACGTGTGGCGCCTGAAGCACTTCAGCAAGCCGGCGTACTGCAACCTCTGCCTCAACATGCTGGTTGGTCTCGGCAAGAAGGGTCTCTGCTGTGTGCGTGAGTATCGCCGGGGATGGGGTGAATAGTATCTAGGAGGAGTAACTGGGAGGAGTATCTGGTTAGTAGTTTCTAGGTTGGAATACGTAAAAGGTGTCTCTGCATTTGAAATTGTCAATTTCAATGAAACCCGGTGCTCTTCAATCGATTCATAACACTGTTTTGGGCGAAGGGAAAACTATGAACTTTTCACAAAATCACTTTGAATAACAAAATGAATATTGTCATTATTACTTTTATTTATAAAAACATATTGATATTTTTATAGGTTCAACTGACTTAAAACATAAAGAAAAATTTAGTAAAAAGAGACTCCTCCCTAAATATATCATGAATGCTTAATAGTAAGTGCTTAATAATATGATTTTTCCCCCTCCCAAGTCTGCAAATACACGGTGCACGAGAGGTGCGTGCAACATGCCCCAGCCTCCTGCATCACCACCTATGTCAAGTCCAAGAAGCCCAAGTGCGGTGGTGACCTGCTCCACCACTGGGTGGAGGGCAATTGCTATGGACGATGCTCCAAATGCCGCAAGCGGATTAAGGCGTACCACGGCATCACCGGCCTGACCTGTCGCTGGTGCCACATGATGGTGAGTGAGTGGTGGTAATTTTGGGTTTTAGTTATGGTTCTTACTAGTAACCTTAGTTCTTGGAAAACTTTGAAAACTCTTAAAGCAAGTGTTTATAAATCTTTAATTTATTTTATTTAAATATCTACATTTGAAATAATTTAAAAATGTGTTCACAAGTACTTAAAATATTATTTAAGATGACGAAAATAGTTGCAACTTCGCGTTTTGTTTAAGAAGTACATTTTTGTAGCATACTTTTCTACGTAATTTTTAAATTATTCATTTTATTTGTATTTTTAAGAAACTTCTGCATTTTTTTAATATAAGGACTAAATAACCTTTATTTAAATAAGGTTAAGTAACTTTCTTGTCCTTATAAATACATTCATGTCTTTATTTTACGTATACGTAATATTGCGGAAAATCAAATATTACGTATACGTCATGTTACTTTTGGATTCGAATTTCTTTGACATCAGACCTTTGTCTTTTGATTAGTTACGTCTTGTATTGTAAGGTAATCATGTTAGAAATCAACCCGGAACAGGGATAAATCAGATTTGCATCGCTTGCAATCGCCAGCATTGTTTCGAAGCAAAAATTCCAATTATCTGGAAAAACAAGGCAGCCCTTGCCCCAGCACTCTTCCGCTATTTTGAGCCCCTGCAGCTGTGTTGGCAGCTGTGATTTGCAGCCCCACACCATTTCGAATTCCCGGACCCCAACCCGGACCACGACCCCGACCCAGACCCGGACCTGGATCCGGATCCGGATCCGCAACCAGGCCACACATGAGCTGGCAACTTCGTTATGGCTGGCAAATTGTCACGTCGCGAGCAAATTGCGCTGCCGTTGCCATTGCCGTTGCTTGCCACCAACTTGGGCGTCCCGTGTCTTTGACAAGTGCAGCGAAGATAATGCCGAATTTGTTGCTGCCAGAGAGCCAGAGGCCCCAGGAACGACATGAGTGCCAGGAGCAACATGAGCAGCCAGGACGTGGATCGAGAAACTTGCTCCAGCGATTTGGATGCTGCTGCATCGGCAAATACTTTGTAAGCCAAGCGCTGCCCGCGCTTTTGACAGTCAATAACTTTGAATTTCTGAGTGTGTGCTCAAAGTTTTCCTCGCGCCCCGATAGCAGCGGAATTTGATAGTCATCCTAGACGTAAAAAATTCTGCCAAGCAACTTAAATAATATCCATCCCGGGATTATTTATAAGCATTGCCCTAGCTTCAGTTCAAGTTTTGTTTCGATCATTATCTGGCGAGACTTCTCTCTCCGTCCACCTCTCGGTCTCGTTTAATTACACTAGATAAGTTTAGAGCCTGGTCATCAGTGGATGACCAGCTCGGAGTTAATTTCAGGGGCCGCAAAAGTAAAAGTAAAAGAAAAACCAAATATGCAAAAGAGGAAGCCGGGCGGCCATTAGCGAAAAAAAAGCAATGAAAACGCTTCAGCCAAATTGGTATTTAAATGAAAATCCGCGCTAAATCTCATTTAGGCCAAAATTAACCATTTTTTTCTGCATCGAGGCGCAAAGGCACCGACGGCCGAGTAGTCGACGGCGCTAACAAACTTTTAATCGGATTCATTAAGGCGAACTGAACGCTTAAGTGGCTCTTGGGCCGCGATGAAGTGGAAATTGAATTTAAGGGCATAAAATCTGTGAGAGGCCTCCACTCCACTCTTGACTAATTTAATTTCTATCCTCCCAATATATATATCCTTGACAGCTTCACAACCGCTGCGCCTCGTCGGTGAAGAAGGAGTGCACTCTGGGCGAATATTCCGAGCTGATAGTCCCGCCCACGGCCATCTGTCCCGCTGTCCTGGATCGCCAGCGATCCGTCAATCAGGCGCATAAGGTAAATGCATTAAGAAGGTATTGGGAAAATATCAATATTGTCATCAAAATCTTTAATCTTGTAATTATATTGAAAGAGATTCGATTAGTTATGGTAAATGAATGATGAGCAACGTTGGTACATTTTTCTTTATATACAAAAAAGAGAGCACTCTGCCATTATCCAGCCTCTTCCTTGATTCGGCCAACTAACCACCTTTCAAAATTTAATCCCAAACCGCAAAATTGACCATATAAAAACAAAAATACAATTGGAACCGCTGCTTTGTGCCCACTTTGTGCCACCTTGAAATCCGCTCTGTAACCAGAAATCCCAAATGCACCATCACCAGGCCACGCACTTCCAAATCACGCCGCCGGACGAGCTGAGCTGCCCGCTGCTGGTGTTCGTCAATCCGAAGAGCGGCGGCCGCCAGGGAGATCGCATCCTGCGGAAGTTCCAGTACATGCTCAATCCCCGCCAGGTGTACGACCTGTCCAAGGGCGGCCCCAAGGAGGGTGTGTGTGTGTGAGTGATGGCCGTTCAAGCACGGTGATTGATTTCCGCTCTTCCGTTTGCCAGGACTCACGCTCTTCAAGGACCTGCCCCGCTTCAAGGTCATCTGCTGCGGCGGCGACGGCACCGTGGGCTGGGTACTGGAGGCCATGGGTAAGTTTCAAGTCTAAATTATACGGTACTTTTTAAAGCCAAGATTGGGAAACAAACTATAGGGTATTAAGCTCTCAATTTAAATGAATAGTTTCCTTGTAAAATATATTTCTATTACATTTCTTATTCTGTTTTCGCTTCACCTTTAAGTTAGGAAGTCTTTAAAAATAGATTCTCCCCTGCAAATATTAGAGAAATTGATTACTGTTTCTTATCCCTTTTGTATCGAAAGCATATTGAATGATTTATTCTTTTCTTTTTGTTTTGCAATTCCTATTGAACAGATTCCATTGAGCTGGCCACCCAGCCTGCCATCGGGGTGATTCCGCTGGGCACTGGCAACGACCTGGCAAGATGCCTCCGCTGGGGCGGCGGATACGAGGGAGAGAACATCCCCAAGCTCATGGAGAAGATCCGTCGTGCCTCCACTGTGATGCTGGACCGCTGGAGCATCGAGGTGACCAACTCCCCGCCCAGCGATGAGCTCCGACCCAAGGTGAGTTTATGCCAATCTTTGGGTAATCGATTCGCTGCACTGAGATATATTCTCTTACCAACTAAATTCAATTGAAAACAAATTATTATAGGTTATTGAAAATTTCTTATTTACCTTTAGGACATAAGGATCCATTTATGACTTTGAAATCAATACAATACATTTTTTGAACAATTATAAATTCGCTCCAGGAAAACTCTCCAGCGAAATGGAATCCCAATATTAATCCCCAACTCCTAACAGATTTCGTAGATTTTTTTATGTCTCAAAATGGATATTGCTTATCCTAGTTTGTTTCGCAATTTTCGTTTTTCGTGTGTCAAAATCGAATTGGCAGTCAGAACCGTCTGTCCGTATCCTGTTCGGTGGAATAGGCGTTGTGGCGGGGGCGTGGCCAGGGTTTGCCAGCTGGAAAATCCAATTATTGGCCACAAAGCGCTTACCACGCACTCCACCACCATCTCCACTGTGGTGTGGTTCCCCCATTGCTCCCTCGAGGACCGAAGCGATTACACAAACTAATTTTCCTGGTTGGGAGGCGTGCTCCTGCTGACGCAGGCTGGCCAGGATGGCCTGGTTGGCTTTGCAATCCGCAGGACTACGGAAAATGTTTTGTGCTCGCCAAATGGCAACTAACTAACCGTCTGGTTTCCTCCGCCCGCAGGTGACGCTGCACTCGAACATGCAGAAGGTGATTGAGCTGTCGCAGAGCGTTGTGGTGGACAAATCCCTGATCGAACGCTTCGAGGAGATCCAGAGGCAGAGCAAGCATCCGTCCGGCACGGCTGCCTCCACCACATCGATTATGATGGCCACGGAAATGGAAATGGCAACAGCGACGGCAACGTCAACGGCGGAGTACGGTAGCAGCACCACAACCACAAGGACGACGACCACCAAGAGCATTTCCATGTCCACCTTCGAGACGCAAAAGACCCTGAGAGCCACGTTGAGCAGCAGCAGCAGCAACTCGAGCAGTGGCAGCCATCCTGAGCAACAGCAACAGCAACAGCAGCAACAGCAACAGTCGGAAACCGACGAGGCCGAGACGGAAGCGGCAGCCCGGCAGAGGTCCTTGGCAACGGAAAGGCAATCACTCGAAACGCTGCTGCTGCAGCACAAGCAACAACTGCTGCAACAGGAACAGGGGCTGGAGCAGCAAATGCAAGGAGTCCTGGCATCGGATGCTGGGCAGGAAGCTGCCACAGCAACACCATTTGGGAATAATCAAAGCGATAATAATAGTCAGCGCAATAAGCAAAACAACATCCTTAAACAGCAAATTACATTGTCATTGGATTTGTCCGACCCCGAGGACGAGGGCAACAACAGCACGGATCGAGAACGTCCACAGCCACCCAGCAGCCCGCACACACCACTGACACCCTGCACACCGAATGCCTCCTCCAGCAAGCAGCACCAGCCACATCTCCAGTTCGAGGAGCAGCAGCATCAAGAGCAGCAGCAGCAGCAACAGAAGCCCATCAAAGTGCAGTCGGACAAGGACTGCACGGTGCCCTACAACATAATCAACAATTATTTCTCTGTCGGCGTGGTGAGTACGATTCCCTTGCCAGCACTCTAAGAAATATTCAGGGTGTTTTTAAACGTTTAAATTTTGATTTTCCAACTCATAAATTGTATACGATTTTGTACTTTGAAGATACATTTAAATTATCCTATAGAAGCCTTTTATTAAAGCGCAACTCTGCGAGTATCCTTTCTAAGCAAAACCTCCCACTTTCGTTTAGTGTAAAAGGAATCAGCAGAATGCATTCCTTGCATGTTGCAAGTATCCAAGCTGCAATTTCAATTCCAATTCGTTGCTTTGACAAATGCCAACATATCCGGTTGCAGTTTCAGTATGCCACATGTCGGACGCTAAGCCGGGCGGATCAAACTGTGCTATGTTGCCAAGCTATTTCACTCTCCCTTTTCCATCCTGGCCGAGGCCCGTGTCCCTGATTATGTCCATGTCATCAGCAGGAGCCATATCCGGCCGTAACAAGGAAAACTATGAGCGCCATTTTCATAATTAGTGTGGACGAGCTGTCGCTACTGCTGACATGGGATTTGCATTTGACAAGCGCGCTCGCCGAGCTTAATTCGATTATCAGAGGAAATCGCGTCTCAGACCTCAGAGGCCATTGTCTTGGAGTGATTGCTGAGGGTTGTGAGATATGAAAAAGAGAATTTTAAATACAAATTTTCAGCACAATAGTTTAAGAACTGGCAAGCTTTAAAAGACGGCAGTAATTAAGAGTTTCAGTGCATTTTGTAGACGAATTAAACCTAAGCTAAGATGATCCATAAATTGTACAAATTATATGTGGTCACAAATCAAGTCAAAGCTTACTGACCTCATTTCCCCCAATGATCCTTAAAGGCCAATAACATTAAGAGCAAATGTCCCGCCAACTGTTTAGCCCGACGCCTTCGGGCTATTCAATAATTCATTCAAATCGACTTAATCATTTATTCAGCGTCTTGGCCAGAGGACCGCTTATTTCCGTCTTACCAGGCCAAAATCAAACTGAAACCCGAAGGCAGCGCTCTTTCAGATGCAAATTTTCCAGGGAACTTGCCTTCGGTTGGATACATTCATAACCAACGAGCGAAATGAACTCAAACAATGGCGTTTCAATAAAGCCGAGGGGGGCAATAAAGAAGCATGGAGCGCAGGGCGGCAAGCGCTTTTCCCCATTTTCCCACCGCTGAAACCCGAATCCTGGCCTGGCTGGCGATTAGTCAAAGACTCTGGCACGTTGCAACACATTTCGCATGCAAAGTGGCCGATTGCCACAGGCCCCGAGCCCAGAACCAGGGATGCACAGAGAGAAATGGTCTGGGAGCGTTTAAGCTTTGAATGCTAGAATAATCTTCCCTGCAGAGTTTGAGCTTTCATTCTAGACATTTCTCACCGTGCTCGGCTGCAGATACGGGTGCAGTTGTAGCCACCAGATACAGATACTTTTGCCGGGTCTCTGGGGTATGCAAACGAGGTGGCAAGAGTTAAGCACACAATCATCAGCTGCGCATTTGCATCATTGATGCAGCAATGTATTCGATTGCCAATCGCCGGGCAGGTGCAGGCAGGTGAAAGGCAGGTAAAAGCCTGGCTGGTGGTGCAGAAGCAGCAGCTCCAGATCCGACTGCAATTTGCACTGTTTGCCATCACTTTCCAGGCTTTCGAAATCAAATGCCCCATCACTTTGCCTGCGAGAACGAGAATGAGAATTCAAATGAAGCTGGGAGCGCTCGAAGCTGAAACCCAAAGGATGGCCAACACTTTGCCGGCGTTAGGCCATTCGAATTCACTTAGTTTCGGTGTCCGGCTAAATTCCCGGAAAATGCCAGCTAAGCCCTGGCCCAAAATGACCGAGAGCGTTTAAATTAATGAGGGCCACACGGCTGCTGCTCCGAAACTTGTCTCATTATAATTTCCAGCAAGTGTTAAATTAGTAACTGCTCAAGGCGACGCCAAACACCGCAAAGTCAAGAAAAAGTAACAGATTGTGCCCCAGGGACAAGCAAAAACCCACACACTCGCGCACACACACCCTGGCAGGACAATAAATAGGAGGAAGGATACAACTTTGCAAAGTTTTTCGCAGAGGCGGAGCCGGTAGCAGGGGGCTTTTGAATAATTTAGTATGATGTGAGATATGAAAATGGCAGTAGAGAAGAGGAAATACCACAGCCAGGAGGAAGGAAAAATCACAGATTCTCGCACTTTTAGCGGCCTGAAGTCCGTTTATCAGGCCGGGATTTAAGAGAGCCATAAAGAAATGTTAAGTGACAAGTTTACAGCAAGGGGCCTGGCCGCAGAAATGAAATGAAATGAAGGCCAAATAAAACGGAAATGTGGTACAAATCAGCCAGACGATGTCCTGCCTCCTGTTTCGTGTGTAAACACGCCCATTGGCCGGTTGAGTACACAGAAACCAATGGGAGACAAGATAACCCATTTCTTATTATTTAGGAAGAGCAAATAAAATATAATAAAATACACCTCAGACAAGAAGAAACCTTTCTTGAAAACAATTAAAATTTTAGTGTCTTAAAGAAGTAATTTGTAGACTATAAAATCCTGTGCTAACTACCCTGTTCTAGAATTTAAAATATTTGTTGGCCTCTTGGGAGCATTTTTGTAACCGTGTAGGTCATAGGGTATGGCTGGGGTGTGTGTGTGTGTGTGGGTGCAGGCTTGCGTAAGGTCACACCATTTGTCAAGTGGCGGCTAAAGCCGAAATCCTTTTTGTGCAAACATTTTGCGCTCCTTTGCGCCACTGAAATCAGCCTAATGCTCCTGCCACAGAGCCCCAACAATTGCACGCCAGATCCCACAAAATCCGCACCAAAACCGAAATAAAAATGTATGTGCTGCGATGGGTGTGGATGGATCCCAGCTCGGATTCGGAATGGATCTGTATCCTGGCAGGGCTTCTTTCTGCCTGTGTGTGTGTGAGTGTGGCGTTGCGTGTTAGTTTATTTATGACTTGATGTGCGTCTGTTTAAACAGTAGGCGTCTACAGCAAACTGTCGGCAATGATGTTATTGCTGCTCCTGCTCCTGGTCCTGCTCCTTTTGCTGCTGGGATTTCACTTGTCGGACACATTTCATACAGAGTAAGAGAGCTCTTTGTCCCGAGCCCATCACGAAATCCATTTAACACTCATGTATGGCACATGTACATGCGTCGCTAGGTCTAGGAGGGAGTGCTCAAGTGGCCAAGGCTTCCAGCTCCTTGGGGAGAGGCCCAAAGAACTGGGAATGGCAGAAGTATTGGAGGAAATCTCGAGGAAAGCCCACCACCTCCTCTTTCCTGGGTAATACAGCATGAAAAGTATTTCACGCTGACGCTTGGGTTTAACGTCAAACAATTGACGTTGAGCGCCAACTTGTGCGACGATGATAAAAGTGCGAGTTGAAGGCAGTTTTGGGAGTTCTGCTCAAATCTAGCTTGTTTCCCCGCAACCCAAAAAAAAATATTTTGTAAAAATGATAAAGTTCATCTTTTTTATAGGCCTGTTTGACTGCCTTTGAATTATTCATGTATTTTGTTTATAAACGGAGAAAGCCTCCTTGTTGTCTTAACAAGAACAATAAGGTTTTCCTAATCGAAATTCAGATTCTGAAGAGCAAGTTTTTAATAATTATTTAACAAATTTGAGGGAGTATTGAATAATTTGTTTGAGTTTAAGTTTAAACAGTATTTCTAAAATAAAGAATATACGCACTAGATCTTCAAGGGAAAATAAAGCATTTTATTGCATTTTTTTATTCAAGTATTATTTTATTATTAGTTAGGTACTGTAGGAACTGCTAAAGTATACTAAATTTATGTAATCTTGAGGGAATCCCCCTTGTTCTAAATGTCGCTTATACGGAAACCCATTCAGTTACTTCCGTTTTTCCCTTCGAAAAACCCGTCATCACTGTCTTTCAAATGCCTGAAGGCTGTTATAAAGTCGATGTGTAATTGTCTGAGCTTCGACTTTGACTTCGGCTCAAGTTTTATGTACTGGGACCAAAGGGATAGATGCGCCTTTTATGGCCGGGGCTTTTGTACCTGCGTTGCGCATACGCCCCGTGGACGTAAAGAGATTCCACCTTGCTTATCTAGGGGGAATGGGAGCTGGGAGCTGGGAGCTAGGAGCTCGGATTCCCCAGCTTTCGGGTGTATACAAATTATTTCATTGGCGTCTCCACCTCACAACCCCCAAAACCTTTTTGGAAACCAATCAAATTTCGAGCCCAACTTGGGCCGGCGAAATTTCCGCAATGCAAACAAGCTGTCAGCTATCCTGTCCCATGGCCATGCCATGCCATGGCCATGTCCCTTGACTAATGGGTATGGTGCGGTCGAGGCATGCTAATAAGCTGGGCTGTCACTAAATTAGTTTACCGCACAGGCCATGCATAAAGTTGGAGTGACATCGCGGCGGCGGCATGCGGCTGAGGCTAATTAAAAAGTTTTTCGTCAATTTTTCGATTTTAAGCGCTGGCAGGCGCTCGCTCATGTTGACAATTCAATTTGACGTGGAGCGGTAATAAATCTTATTTGCTGTGCTGTGCAACCAAGGCGACCGACGGTCCTTAATTGAAAGTCCTGCAGCCACGTGGTGCTGGTGGTGGCTGGCTGTCCTGCATCCGGTTTATAGAGCTCCGGACCAGGCCAAAGCCGTGTGTGTTCGCCAAGCGGCATGCATAACAAATGTCCTGTTGCCTGTAAGCGCAACGTGTCGTATGCGCAACGTTGGCACGCAACCGAATATCCGCATAAGGAATTAAAATGCAGCCGCCGGTCCCCGATAAGAGTCCTTCGTCCGCCCACATTCCCCTACTTCCTGGAACTCTGTCCTGATGCCTGGGGCTCTGTAAAACAAACACCTTTGTGGGAATAACACGGCACGTGAGCTGAACAGGTTAACATTTGCGGTGTGGAAAGTAGCAATTAATTTGTGGGAATAGCTTATTAAAAGAAGGACCCTCTTCTGATAAAAGAAATTAAAATCATAAAAACGTGTACATTTGTGTTGGCAAATAATTGTTTAAGAGGTTCTTGCTCTGAAAATTATTAAGGTATTAAAATTAAACGATTATTTAAAGCCCTTTAGAAGTCTTGTGATTCATAAAATTTGAAAAGTGAGCAGTTATTACAGAGAAAGGGAGATATAATCCCATTCATTTTATCTTACAAATTCGATCCGTTTTAATAATGTTAAAGGATTTCTTTTCGAATTTCTTGAGCTATGAATATTATGAATTTTATTTACCATGTATGACTATTGTTTATACAACATTTATTGAATAATTAAATCGAGTGCCTCGAGTACTTGCTCCAAATCAGTGATTCTTGTGGATTCAAGTGCCAATTACTTGCAGCTGCAGTCAAGGACTTGCCTCCGCTCTTGAAGTTTCTTCAAGTTCCCTGTATAGTTGCTTCTGCACTAAGATAAGGAGCTTTTCCTGTCCGCCTTTTCTTAATACAAATTAGGTGTCTCATTTTACGTTTGGCCACAACATTAATTGGCATGCCTGCGGTCGGGCCAATCGAAACTGTTTTGCCTTGGCAGCCATGGCGGAGAGGTGTCAATCTAATTGAGATTTCTCAGAAAGCCTGAATAAGAAGTGCAGTCTCCGAACGTGACCCTGAATAGCCCATTCTGCAGTTGAACTTTCTCCTGGCCTTGCTCTTATCCGGACTGTTTCTCTTCCCCAGGATGCCGCCATTTGCGTCAAATTTCACTTGGAGCGGGAAAAGAACCCACACAAATTCAACAGCCGGATGAAGAACAAGCTCTGGTACTTCGAATATGCAACGTCCGAGACATTCGCAGCATCCTGCAAGAATCTCCACGAGAGCATCGAGATTGTGGTAAGTGGCCGGGGTGAAGCGCAAGGGAAATGGTGCTGGAAAACTGAATATAACTGCAGGGGAAATTGGGTGGAAAGCTGGGGGCAGGCCAGAGCCGTCATCCGTGATTTATGAGCGGACGCAGCGTGTAACCTTCGCTCCATATTCGCAGTGCGATGGCGTGGCCCTGGACCTGGCCAACGGACCCCACCTGCAGGGTGTGGCCCTGCTCAACATCCCGTATACGCACGGCGGTTCCAACCTATGGGGCGAGCATCTATCCCAGAAGCGGATTCGGAAGAGTGCCGGTCCCTTTGGCAAGAGCAAGAAGCTCCGGGCGGGTGACAAGGAGTTCTCCGCCACCAGCTTTAATTCCGTAGATCTATCGGTGGCCATACAGGGTGAGTTAATTCACTTGTTAATGTATATTATCTTTGCTTTTGATATATTTTTATTTATTTTACTAAATCTAATTTTTTACAAATATACGACAGCTTTCCAAATTAAAATAAATAATGCTTTTCGGGCCTAATTATGAGTTTTTTAACTTTCGATTTGTAGAAAAAATTTTTAACATTTGACATTTTTTCTACAAATCAAAAACTAAAAAACCCATAACTAAGCCAAAAATTCATTAATTTCAATTCGAAAAGCTTTTCTGTGTTAGTTTTTACGGCGCTAACAAGTCTGCATACTTGGTTTTAAGATTTAGAAAATTCCATTTTTTGTCGAATTTTGCAAATTTTAATGATGTAACCCCTTATAAAAATGTCAAATTTTCGACAAATTTTGAAAATTGTATTTTTCGTTCAGACACGGCTCGATGGACTCGCCTGTTAATGCTGATCACAAATATATATGATTTATGGGGTCGGAAATGTCTCCTTCACTGCGTTACAGGCTTCTGACTGAAAGTAAAATACCATTTTTGAGACAATATTTATCACAATTTTATGATAGTTTTTTCTACAAATCAAAGTTTAAAAAATTCATTACTAAGTCAAAAATGCATTAATTTTAGATCGGAAAGCTTAACTGTGTTCTTTGTTATCAGGTTAACAAATCTGCATACTCCATTTAAAGTTTTAAAATCTTAAAATGACTGAAATCATAATGCCATTCTTCGAGCAGATATCTTTATTCATATATTTATACGATATTTTTTTACAAAAAATCAATATTTAAAAACTTCATAACTCAGCCAAAAATGCATTAATTTTAAATCGGAAAGCTTTACTGTGATCTTTGTTAGCAGGTTAACAAATCTACATACTCAATTTTTATTTGAAAAAACTTAAGTGACTGAAATTTTATTACCATTCTGTCAGCCAATATTTATCTATATTTTTAGATGACATTTTTTCTACAAATCAAAAACTAAAAAACGCATAACTAAGCCAAAAGTTCATTAATTTCAATTCGGAAAGCTTTTCTGTGTTAGTTTTTACGGCGCTAACAAGTCTGCATACTTGGTTTTAAGATTTAGAAAATTCAATTTTTTGTCGAATTTTGCAAATTTTAATGATGTAACCCCTTATAAAAATTTCAAATTTTCGACAAATTTTGAAAATTGTATTTTTCGTTCAGACACGGCTCGATGGACTCGCCTGTTAATGCTGATCACAAATATATATGATTTATGGGGTCGGAAATGTCTCCTTCACTGCGTTACAGGCTTCTGACTGAAAGTAAAATACCAATTTTGAGACAATATTTATCACAATTTTATGATAGTTTTATCTACAAATCAAAGTTTAAAAAATTCATTACTAAGTCAAAAATGCATTAATTTTAGATCGGAAAGCTTAACTGTGTTCTTTGTTATCAGGTTAACAAATCTGCATACTCCATTTAAAGTTTTAAAATCTTAAAATGACTGAAATCATAATGCCATTCTTCGAGCAGATATCTTTATTCATATATTTATACGATCTTTTTTTACAACAAATCAATATTTAAAAACTTCATAACTCAGCCAAAAATGCATTAATTTTAAATCGGAAAGCTTTACTGTGTTCTTTGTTAGCAGGTTAACAAATCTGCATACTCAATTTTTATTTGAAAAAACTTAAGTGACTGAAATTTTATTACCATTCTGTCAGCCAATATTTATCTATATTTTTAGATGACATTTTTTCTACAAATCAAAAACTAAAAAACGCATAACTAAGCCAAAAGTTCATTAATTTCAATTCGGAAAGCTTTTCTGTGTTAGTTTTTACGGCCCTAACAAGTCTGCATACTTGGTTTTAAGATTTAGAAAATTCAATTTTTTGTCGAATTTTGCAAATTTTAATGATGTAACCCCTTATAAAAATGTCAAATTTTCGACAAATTTTGAAAATTGTATTTTTCGTTCAGACACGGCTCGATGGACTCGCCTGTTAATGCTGATCACAAATATATATGATTTATGGGGTCGGAAATGTCTCCTTCACTGCGTTACAGGCTTCTGACTGAAAGTAAAATACCAATTTTGAGACAATATTTATCACAATTTTATGATAGTTTTATCTACAAATCAAAGTTTAAAAAATTCATTACTAAGTCAAAAATGCATTAATTTTAGATCGGAAAGCTTAACTGTGTTCTTTGTTATCAGGTTAACAAATCTGCATACTCCATTTAAAGTTTTAAAATCTTAAAATGACTGAAATCATAATGCCATTCTTCGAGCAGATATCTTTATTCATATATTTATACGATCTTTTTTTACAACAAATCAATATTTAAAAACTTCATAACTCAGCCAAAAATGCATTAATTTTAAATCGGAAAGCTTTACTGTGTTCTTTGTTAGCAGGTTAACAAATCTGCATACTCAATTTTTATTTGAAAAAACTTAAGTGACTGAAATTTTATTACCATTCTGTCAGCCAATATTTATCTATATTTTTAGATGACATTTTTTCTACAAATCAAAAACTAAAAAACGCATAACTAAGCCAAAAGTTCATTAATTTCAATTCGGAAAGCTTTTCTGTGTTAGTTTTTACGGCCCTAACAAGTCTGCATACTTGGTTTTAAGATTTAGAAAATTCAATTTTTTGTCGAATTTTGCAAATTTTAATGATGTAACCCCTTATAAAAATGTCAAATTTTCGACAAATTTTGAAAATTGTATTTTTCGTTCAGACACGGCTCGATGGACTCGCCTGTTAATGCTGATCACAAATATATATGATTTATGGGGTCGGAAATGTCTCCTTCACTGCGTTACAGGCTTCTGACTGAAAGTAAAATACCATTTTTGAGACAATATTTATCACAATTTTATGATAGTTTTTTTCTACAAATCAAAGTTTAAAAAATTCATTACTAAGTCAAAAATGCATTAATTTTAGATCGGAAAGCTTAACTGTGTTCTTTGTTATCAGGTTAACAAATCTGCATACTCCATTTAAAGTTTTAAAATCTTAAAATGACTGAAATCATAATGCCATTCTTCGAGCAGATATCTTTATTCATATATTTATACGATCTTTTTTTACAACAAATCAATATTTAAAAACTTCATAACTCAGCCAAAAATGCATTAATTTTAAATCGGAAAGCTTTACTGTGATCTTTGTTAGCAGGTTAACAAATCTGCATACTCAATTTTTATTTTAAAAAACTTAAGTGACTGAAATTTTATTACCATTCTGTCAGCCAATATTTATCTATATTTTTAGATGACATTTTTTCTACAAATCAAAAACTAAAAAACCCATAACTAAGCCAAAAATTCATTAATTTCAATTCGAAAAGCTTTTCTGTGTTAGTTTTTACGGCCCTAACAAGTCTGCATACTTGGTTTTAAGATTTAGAAAATTCAATTTTTTGTCGAATTTTGCAAATTTTAATGATGTAACCCCTTATAAAAATTTCAAATTTTCGACAAATTTTGAAAATTGTATTTTTCGTTCAGACACGGCTCGATGGACTCGCCTGTTAATGCTGATCACAAATATATATGATTTATGGGGTCGGAAATGTCTCCTTCACTGCGTTACAGGCTTCTGACTGAAAGTAAAATACCAATTTTGAGACAATATTTATCACAATTTTATGATAGTTTTTTCTACAAATCAAAGTTTAAAAAATTCATTACTAAGTCAAAAATGCATTAATTTTAGATCGGAAAGCTTAACTGTGTTCTTTGTTATCAGGTTAACAAATCTGCATACTCCATTTAAAGTTTTAAAATCTTAAAATGACTGAAATCATAATGCCATTCTTCGAGCAGATATCTTTATTCATATATTTATACGATCTTTTTTTACAACAAATCAATATTTAAAAACTTCATAACTCAGCCAAAAATGCATTAATTTTAAATCGGAAAGCTTTACTGTGTTCTTTGTTAGCAGGTTAACAAATCTGCATACTCAATTTTTATTTTAAAAAACTTAAGTGACTGAAATTTTATTACCATTCTGTCAGCCAATATTTATCTATATTTTTAGATGACATTTTTTCTACAAATCAAAAACTAAAAAACCCATAACTAAGCCAAAAATTCATTAATTTCAATTCGAAAAGCTTTTCTGTGTTAGTTTTTACGGCCCTAACAAGTCTGCATACTTGGTTTTAAGATTTAGAAAATTCAATTTTTTGTCGAATTTTGCAAATTTTAATGATGTAACCCCTTATAAAAATTTCAAATTTTCGACAAATTTTGAAAATTGTATTTTTCGTTCAGACACGGCTCGATGGACTCGCCTGTTAATGCTGATCACAAATATATATGATTTATGGGGTCGGAAATGTCTCCTTCACTGCGTTACAGGCTTCTGACTGAAAGTAAAATACCAATTTTGAGACAATATTTATCACAATTTTATGATAGTTTTTTCTACAAATCAAAGTTTAAAAAATTCATTACTAAGTCAAAAATGCATTAATTTTAGATCGGAAAGCTTAACTGTGTTCTTTGTTATCAGGTTAACAAATCTGCATACTCCATTTAAAGTTTTAAAATCTTAAAATGACTGAAATCATAATGCCATTCTTCGAGCAGATATCTTTATTCATATATTTATACGATCTTTTTTTACAACAAATCAATATTTAAAAACTTCATAACTCAGCCAAAAATGCATTAATTTTAAATCGGAAAGCTTTACTGTGTTCTTTGTTAGCAGGTTAACAAATCTGCATACTCAATTTTTATTTTAAAAAACTTAAGTGACTGAAATTTTATTACCATTCTGTCAGCCAATATTTATCTATATTTTTAGATGACATTTTTTCTACAAATCAAAAACTAAAAAACCCATAACTAAGCCAAAAATTCATTAATTTCAATTCGAAAAGCTTTTCTGTGTTAGTTTTTACGGCGCTAACAAGTCTGCATACTTGGTTTTAAGATTTAGAAAATTCAATTTTTTGTCGAATTTTGCAAATTTTAATGATGTAA